GTCCATGGCAATGGAGAGACCGGGTTCCCGTGGGATAGGCATCGGGTTTAACTTGCCGTAGGGATTGCGGTTGCGGGGCTTGCTGCGTCGGCAAACTTCGCAAGAGTCGCAATACCGAGTGAGTAATGAGGTCGGGCCATCGGAATCGCTGTCGAAGTCGTGCAATAGTGCGGTTGACTCCGAAATGGCCGGCGAGTCGTGAATCATGATACTCGCCGAGGAGGCGAGTCCGAAGACGACGGTCGCGTGGGACACGTAGTAAGTCCTTGCCTCTCGAGTGGAGGAGCAAGTACCCGTCGGCAATGCGGTAATGGCTGGCCGGCGGGTGATCCGAAGATAGCTGTGCATAGAGCGTGCCGAAGTCCGGATCAGACTCATATGCCCGAATGAAGTGTCGCTGAAGCTCCTCGTCGAATGCGAAGGCATGATGTGTCATTAGTGCAAAAATCTGGTCTTTGCGAGAGTGCATCTGCTGCGCGATTTGAGAGGCCGGGTAGATATTTCGGTGTGAAGTCAAACTGGTCGATGAAGTACATCCATCGTCCGATCGTGCTGCTCACCGTATCCTGTGTCTTGTAGTAGGTCAATGGATTGTTGTTCGTAACCCATGTGAACCTACGATGCCCAAGGAGGAAGTGTAGCCATCGCTTGAGAGCCATGACGAACGCGAGTAGCTCCTTCTTTCTTGCATCATCCAGCGAGTTGATGGGAGACACTTTGTGGCTGAAATACTCCATAGGGTGCCAGTTGTCGCCGTCGTGCTGTTCCAAGACTGCCCCAATGCCATAGCCGGAAGCGTCCGTAGTCACTCTCGTCGGCAAGGTGGGGTTGTAGATGCTGAGGACGGGTGCCATGAGCATGGCCGTCTTAAGTGCTTGGAATGACCGGCGTGCGTCGTCATCGAATACGAATGGCACCTTTGGCGACTGTAACCTTGTCATAGGTGCAACAATCCTGGAGTATCCGGTGATGAATCGCTGATAGTAGCCCGCCAATCCCATGAATGAACGAACGTCCGTGGTGTTGGTGGGCTTGGGCCATACTTGTAGGGCCTCGATCTTGTCCGCGAGCGGACGGATGCCTTGCGGCGTCACATAATGGCCCAAGTACTCCAGCTCCTGCCGCGCGAATTCACACTTGTCGCGGTTGGCTTTGTACTTGGCCTATCGTAGCCGCTCCAAAACGGTGCGCAGGTGTTCCACATGCTCCTCCAAACTCCGGTTGTATATCAGGATGTCATCGAGATAGATAAGTACGTATCGATCCAGCATGTGTCGGAACTCCGTTGTCATAGCCACTTGGAAAGTGGCCGGGGCATTCGTAAGGCCAAATGGCATAACCAGCCATTCGAAATGCCCATACCGTGTCTTGAATGCGGTCTTGTAACGGTCCTCCTTGCGAATCTCGAGTTGGTGGTACCCTGACTTGAGATCCAGCTTGGAAAAGAACTGGGCGCCGCCCAATCGCTCGAGAAGGTCGTCGATGCGTGGGAGAGGGCCGACGTTCCTGATCGTCTGCGCATTGAGCTTGCGATAATCGATGCACAACCGCAGGTCTTTGTTCTTCTTCCGGACAAAGAGAACAGGAGCACCGTATGGCGATGAGCTAGGCCGAATCCAGCCTTTCTCCAGAAGGTCGTCGAGTTGTGCCCGAAGCACACTTAACTCTTCCTCGCTCATTCGGTAGATGCAACCACGCGGAGGTACGGCCCCGTCCTCGAGGATGATCTCGTCGCGGATGGGTCGATCCGGTACTACTCCGTGCGGGCCTTCAAACACGTCGCTGTAGGCGTCGAGAAGTTCGATGATGTGTGGATCCGAAGGTGAGTCCGTCGATGAAGCGTCATGTGGCGGGAGGGTGTGGAAAAAACACACCCCCATCTCCTCGATGTTGTCTCTGATGATGGAAGCTCGCATGCTTGCGGCGGATACCACGTGGCAGTTAATCGAAGGGTGAGGAAGAGGCACCGTGCATGGAACTAATACTCCGTTCCAATCACGAATGTGAACGGTGCGGTTGAAGAAGTTCACCGGGTGATCCTTGCTTCGCAGCCATGACATGYCCAAGATCATGTCGAATTTGGTGTCCAGAATGTCAAAGGACACCGCCTCACTTGCATGAGGGGCAAAGTACACTGGGACGGCGTCAGTGCACCGGTCGATGGACTTGTGCGTATGACCGTCTGCCAGAGTGACTTGCGTAGGCTGGCACTTCCTCCGGACACGTGGGCCAAGGCCGGCGCGTACCATGAAGTCCTGGCTGATATAGTTGCGAGATGCTCCGTAATCGATCAAGGCACTGCAGGTCGCCTCTCCGATCTGAATGCGTACGTATAGCAATGGTGCGTCGATGTCGTCGTACCGTTGCGTCTTGAACTCGCGGTCGATCTTCGCGATATACGCGAGAAGGTCGACAACCTCTGCTCCGACGTCCATCAACGGAGCTGGTACTTCAGTGTGCAAGTAGTCCCGCAATTGTGCCATAAGCACATTGCAATGCGGTTTTGGCAATCGTCCGGTCGAGGGAACGGGCATCCACTGGAAGTCCGTGAATGTCAATGGGTCGAGCTCTTCAAGTCTTGACCATGACGTCGAATCCCCAGCGATAGGTTGCGGCGAAGCTGCCGAATCGGTTGCCGATGGTGATGAAACCGTGCATGCGGTGGACTGTTGCACGTGGAGCGGTTGGTCCAGCGGTGGAACCAAGTGGACAACATAATCCTCTTAAGATTACCGAGGACTTGCGACATGCGCCTCCTCCCCAAATGTGTAGGGAGGCCGCTAGCAAGGCGGCCAAATCTGGCGGAGTGAGAGGTGGAGTCGCCTCACCTCCCGCGCAGCTCAGTTTCCCGCTCTGTGGTACAAGCTGTCCATTTCTGGCCGGCGATGCGGTTTTCGCCTTTCCTTTTTTCGGGAGTTGTTGTTGCTTTTCGTCTGGACAGCGGTCACCTGATCTCCTTCACGTGATGCTTGGGCGGCTGCTGGGTCTTCCACAATGGTGTCCGGTTGGACTGCAGCGACATGCTGCGGACGCGGACCAAATTTTCCTTCTCCACATGGGCTGGCTGCCACGCTATCTTCTCGTGTGCAGCAGCCCGGTTGGTCTTGATGATTCGAAATGCCGGAACTTGAGCTTTCGATGCTGGCGGCTTCATGCCGCTGCAGCAGATCTTGGGCTTCCTTGCGGCGAGCCTGGGCACCTGCGTCTGCTTCGGCCTGTAGCCGTAGCTTCTCTGCTGTTGCCGCTGCTTCAGCATGTAGCTGGGCAGCCTTGGCTGTCAGCTGGCGTTGTTCCTCAGCCTCGATTGTAGCGACCTGAGCCTGGAAACGCTTTTTGTAGTCGGCAATGGACTCGTTGGCCAGTTGGCCTGGCATGCCCAGAGCTGCGCCCGTCATGGTGGCGGGGCACTGCTGACGTGGCACTGTGTCTGACGTGGCACTGCTGACGTGGCACTGCTGCCGTGACACTGCTGTCGTGGCACTGCTGTCGTGGCACTGT